CACCTTCTTCCTTCACAGGGCTCCATCCTGGGAAACCCACCTGCTTTGCCGCTCAGCTCCATCTCTTCAGCTCAAGGGCTTTTCGGCCATGGTTTAGTTCCCTCTCCCTGTCTGGGAACTTTCCAGGCACTAAGCGGGAGCCATCCTCGGCCCCCCTCATTTGAGTCCCCATTGCTCAGAGTTTATTACCTGATATCTAGTGTCTTCAAAGCCATTGTTTTATATATTTTGGTTTGTTTTAAGACTGGAGGGAAGCATTTCCTTGTTACTCTATCTTGGACAGAAACCCTGTTTTGGAGGAAAAAGTGTGCGTGTGCGTGTATGTGTATGTACACACAGATGTGTTGTATTCTTCCTTTTTTTTTAATTAAGTTTTTGCCGTAGGGCGTGTGCGCTCACCAGAAGAGACAGAAAGAGGGAAAGTGAGAACTCAGCCCCCCGGGGCGATGGCCACGCCACAATCTCTTCTCCTCCAGTCTCCTTTCAGGATCTTGGGCACGCACGCACAGGTTTCCACCGTGATATTGAAACCACTAGGTCTAGGACTGAAACCATGTAGCCAGCCATGTGACATCCCGTGTCCCAACCGCCACACCATCTGCTGGCCCTGGGTTGTATTCTTTTAAAGATACGCACTGGGGCAAAAACTGAAAATATAAAGTAGACTTTTAACTCTAATGAGCACAAGTATAGGACACTCCATTTTCTGTTTTGAAAAAAAAATTGATATTCAGACAATAAGTGTGAATTGCTTTGTAATCAGAATCACAGACAGAAAATTGGAAAAAAATAAAATTATGAAGGACATGGGATTTAGTACTATGAAAAAATTCACCCATATTTACACCAAAGGGAATGGATAGTCTTTTGCATGTTAATAGCTCTTTTCCACAGTGCCCTCTGGAGACAGTCTTTGTTTTTATTTATTTATTTATTGTTTTATTTTTAAGAGGTTTTTTGCTTTAGAATGCATGTGCTCATTGGAGAGAAAGAGAGACAGAGACAGTGAGAGAGGAAGTGAAAAATCATCCCCCAGAGGGGATGGGCACCCCACAAACCCTTTTCCTCCATCCTCTCCCTGGGATCGTGGGCACGCACGCGCATGCACCCAGTGCGATTTTTTGAGCCTCCAGATCTGGGACTTAACGGCGGTTGGCCAGTGACCTAACCACTACACCACCTGCTGGCGCCTGCAGACACAGTCTTCGTGATGTTCCCCTTGACAAAAGGCAGGATCCCCTGCATTCGCACTGTCACCACCCAAGAATGTCCTCAGACATTTAGTCCTTTTGATGGCCTGGTTGGCAGGGTGGAGTGCTAGGGCAGTTTCAGTCTGTCTGATACACCCACATCTTTTCATAGATCAGAGCTGTGTGTTTGCTGTTTTCGCTCCTGAAGAGTTTCAGCTACAAAAGGAAGGCTGCCTTTTCTCCCGCAGTGGGTGGCGTCTGCCTCCAGTGTGCCTGATTCCCCGAGTTTGAGTCCCTCCAAGAGACTTCCTTCTGTGTGCACTCGCAGCCAAGACTGCCTCCCTCCCACCTCTGCGGCCGCATGCCATGTATGTCCCAGACTGCGTCAGAGCCCCCGGCCCCGAACCATTGCCCTTCCTCCCACTTCCCCTGCAGGTTGCCCACGCCCACTCCCCAGCCTCTGTGCCCCCACACAGTGTCTGGGCATGGCACCACACCCCATGGTCACTCAGCCACATTCGCCCTCCCGCCTTAGGTATTTCTCAACTCTTGTCCTTGGGATGGGAACGGGGCACGTGGCCATGCTGTGGTTCACTGAGACCCCTGACCTGGGGTCGGACTGGGGATGCAAATCCCAGCTTCCTTCGAGTGTGCTATGTCCCCTTGAGTATCTGACTTCAGTCTCGGAGCCTCAGCTGCCTTGTCTGTAAAATGGAGTTGTCTACTGTACCAAACTCACAGGTGCCTGAGGCTGGAGGGGAGGCCCGTGCCCATGCTCAGTACTGCGGGCATGGCGGCGCTCCGTGAGTGCTGCTCTGGCACCCTCTGTGCGCCGGGCACTGCTGGAGGAGGGGACTGGCAGGGTCGTGGCCCATGGAGCTGACGCAGGGAGTCGATAATCAGATCGTGGCAAGAAGAGAGTTGCCGCAGCCCGTGAGTGCTCACTGTGAAGTGGGCAAGACGAGCAGGGTGGACAGGGCAGGCCTCGTGGACAGTTGGTGAACACTGGGCCTGAAGATGAGAAGCCACGGGAAGGTGGGGGAGGTTCAGAGGCCCTGGGGCGGGAACCTGACATGGACAAGAGGGTGAAAGAGGAACCAAAGGCAGCGAGGGAGGGATGGTGAGCTGCCTGAGAGGCAGGCCTGTGCTGGGTCCTGAGGACCCTGGAGGCCACCAAAAGGTGTTGGCTTCATTCTCAGTGCGTTCGGGAGGCTGCCGGGGGCTCATGACTCTTCTGACGAACCTCCTCCCCCCGGCAGCCGAGGCGGGTGGGGAGGGCAGGGCGCCTGCTGTCGCATTTGGGGCATTGACTAGCTCCTTGGTGGTGGCCATGAATTGTGGTCTGACTCAGGCTGTTCTGTGCATCCAGTGGCACTTGTCCAAGTTGGGATGGTGGGAGGGAAGGAGTGAAATGGGATGACTGAAAAGTATGTTTTTTTTTGTTTTCATTAAAAAGTTTTACTTTGAAAACTGATCAAATATAGGATACATAAAATGTGCCACCTATTGTCACTTTTAGTGCAGCTCAGTGGCCATAAGGGCGTTCACACCTGGTGCATCCATCTCCACCGTCCGTCGGGACTTTCCATCTTCCCCACCTGGGATGCTGTCCCCGGGAGTTCTCACGCCCCGTTTCCTCCTCCGGCAGCCACTGTTCTGCTTCCGTCCCCACTAATTTGACTCCTCTGGGACCTCATAACAGTGGAGTCATGTTATTTGACCTTGGCTTGTTTTTTACCAAGTCTCTTAGGTGGGCCTTATTTTATCAAAAACCTTCTTTTGGTGGGGAGGTTCTGAAATCCTAAGTTTGGTATTGAACACGTTAGGTTTGGAGTGTCCAAGAGACACCAGGGAGGGTTTTTTGAATGAGGTCCTTTGGCAGAGCTCCAAGAAGAAGCCCGGGCTGGAGAGGCTTGTTTAGGTAGCAAGTCCGCACGGGTAATATTTAACCCAGGGAGCTGGCAGGTGGCATGGTAGTTAAGGTGCTGGACTCCACATGGCTGGCTGTGGTTCAAGTCCTGGACCTGGTGGCTTTCTCATTTTCCCTCTTTTTCTCTGTTATACACACACACACACACTATATATATATATATATATATATATATATTATTTAAATATAGATATAGTCCCGGCATGATTCAGGGGAGTGGTCTCAAACTCAAGGGGCCATAGAGGCCAGCAGGGGGGGTCACTCAGTGGGGGAAAGGGACCACCCGGTCCCCCTGTAGCTTTTTAGTGCTTCATAGGAGTGAGAGCTGTATCTGACCATCTCTTCATGCTTTTTAGGAGAAAGCAGTTATGTGGGTCACAACTTTTAAATGTTGAGAATAAATCCCAGGATGTCTACAATCCCATTTGGAACTTGAGAGCAGCACCTAGGATGGAAACTGAGTTTGAGAAATCAGTACGAGTGCTGGCTCCATAGCACAGCAGTTAACGGTCTGTGCATTAGGGGCCAGCCCCACATGGTGAATGCGGTTCAAATACCAGCTCTGGTGGCTTGAGAAGTATGCTGGGCACTCATGCTTGCATACGCAGAGCCTGATGGGATGGAGAAATGGAGGAGAAAGGGTTGTGACATGGCCACATCCCATTGAGGTTCCATCTCTCTTTCTCTCTGGCAAGCGCACATACCTTCTGACAATTAAAGCAAAGTTAGAAACCATAGGACACACAGAGAAGGCAGTTGAAGCCACACACACCAATGGGTTACCTGCGGAGGCAGACGGGCAGAGAGAGGAGCATCGAGGCCCAGGTTCCGTAGAGCTGCCTAAGGCAGTGCTGAAGGGCGATATGAGCAACAAGAACAGTCACAACAGCTTCCACGCCATGTTATCAGGAGGCTTACATGAGAGAGAAGGTACGTGTCTTACTCCATTTCAGCTTCTATGACAATTCCACAGACCGGGTAATTATGAAGAAACTTATTTCTCACAGTTCTGGAGGCTGGAAAGTCTGAGCTGTGACACTAGCACCTGACAGGGGTCATCACATGGTGAAGGACAAATGAGTAGACAAGACAGGAAAGATCGGGCAAGCCCCTGCTTTATCAGGAGCCCACTCCTGTGGTAACAGCATTGATCCACTCATGAGGGTAGAGCCCTCGCGGCCTCAGCACTTCTTAAAAGCCCCACCAGCTGTGGGAACCAGCAGTTAGCGTAATGGCTATGTCGCTGGACTCCCACGTTGTCGACCGCAGTTCACGTCCCAGACCCGGTGGCTTAAAACTCATGCCGGGTGCATGTGTGTGCGTGCCTAAGATCCCGAGAGGAGAATGGAGAAGAAGGGATTGCGGCGTGGCCATTCCCCTTGGGGGGTGATTTCTCGCTTTCTGTCTCTATGTCTCTCTCTGTCTGGAGAGTGCACGCGCCCTATAGCAAAAAAACTCTCAAAAAAAAAAAAAAAAGCCCCACCAGCTGTTACCTCATTGTTATCTCTAACAAAAACCAATGCTTGAGAAGCATAATTAGTTGAGGATATTCTGGGTGCACAGAAGAGGGAGAAGCCCTACAAGCTTGGCGCTGCTACAGTCATCCTGCTCAAGCTCGCGAGTTCAGCAGTTTGCACCCCGCTCACTCTGTCACTGGGCAGCTGGGACTCTTCTGAGCTCCTGCCTGCCAGCCGCCTGCCTCATCCACCTCCTGTGTAGACTCCGCCTCATTAAGCGACATGCCCCCTGCTCTCCCCCCCTGAGCTCCCTGGGTCATCATCTTTAGTTTCTTTACGTGCTCCTGCTTGGGACAGTTCTCTCTCCCACCATTGTTAGTTACATGTGTTTTCATCTGTTTTGTTTTTGCTTTGTATTTTTAGATTTGGAGACTAGACCTGAAATGACAGAGTTGGATCCAAAGGGCAACACCTGGGAAGACAAGTCATCCATCGAGGTGACCAGGGAAGGACCTAGGAGAAACGGGGCTTGGGGTCTGGCCTTGGAAGGAGCCAGCAAGCTGGGCAGCTGGCCAGAGAGGCAGCAAGGAGAGCCAGGGCGGGGGCTGGAGTGGCTGGGGATTGCCCCAGGGAACAAACCCTCTGCGCAGCTCTCCGAGGGTCAGGAGTCCAAGGCATTTACCAGCCAGAGCTCCACCCAGGTCCTGCAGAGGCTGGAGGAGCCTGGGGAGAAGGGGTTCTGCCCCTTCGCCATGCGTGGGAGGAGTTGCACAGGCTCGGTGGGCCTCAGCCAGCCCCTTGGGCCCTGCGCAGAGAAGGCCTACGCGTGCAGTGAATGCGGCAAGGCGTTCGGCCGCAGCTCGTCCTTGGTCAAGCACCAGCGGATCCACACCGGTGAGAAGCCCTTCGAGTGCAGCGTCTGCGGGAAGCACTTCATCGAGCGCTCGTCCCTCACCATCCACCAGCGCGTGCACACGGGTGAGAAGCCCTACCCGTGCGCCGACTGCGGCAAGGCCTTCAGTCAGCGCATGAACCTCGTGGTGCACCAGCGCACACACACGGGCGAGAAGCCCTACGTGTGCGCCGTGTGCGGGAAGGCCTTCCGCAAGACCTCATCCCTCACTCAGCATGAGCGCATCCACACGGGCGAGAAGCCCTACGCGTGCGGGGACTGCGGCAAGGCCTTTAGCCAGAACATGCACCTGGTTGTGCACCAGCGCACGCACACAGGCGAGAAGCCCTACGTGTGCACCGAGTGCGGGCGGGCCTTCAGCCAGAACATGCACCTGACAGAGCACCAGCGCACGCACACGGGCGAGAAGCCCTACGCCTGCAAGGAGTGCGGGCGGGCCTTCAACAAGAGCTCCTCGCTCACGCTGCACCGGCGCCACCACACGGGCGAGAAGCCCTACGTGTGCAACGAGTGCGGCAAGGCCTTCAGCCAGAGCGCCTACCTCATCCAGCACCAGCGGTTCCACATCGGGGTGAAGCCCTTCGAGTGCAGCGAGTGCGGCAAGGCCTTCAGCAAGAACTCGTCGCTCACGCAGCACCAGCGCGTCCACACCGGGGAGAAGCCCTACGAGTGCGCCGTCTGCAAGAAGCACTTCACCGGGCGCTCGTCCTTGCTCGTGCACCAGATCGTGCACACGGGCGCCAAGCCCTACACCTGCGGCGAGTGCGGCAAGGCCTTCAGCCAGAGCGCCTACCTCATCGAGCACCAGCGCATCCACACGGGCGAGAAGCCCTACCGGTGCGGCCAGTGCGGGAAGTCCTTCATCAAGAACTCCTCGCTGACCGTGCACCTGCGCATCCACACCGGCGAGAAGCCCTACCGGTGCGGCGAGTGCGGGAAGACCTTCAGCCGGAACACCAACCTGACGCGGCACCTGCGGATCCACACCTGAGCGCCAGGGAGGCATCGGTAGGTCCTCCTCGGCAGGGCCTGGGCGCGGGCGCTTCCTGGGCTGGTCGGTGTGAGCACGGGCGACTCGCAGTCAGAGGAAGCTGAGCGTGAGGCCTGCGGCCACAGGTGCTGCCTCCTCCCGGAGCCAGAAAAGGCCTCGCCGCCTCTCCGAAGCCTTTTAAGTTCACGGTAGCTGAGCCTCAGGGAAGGGTTGCTCCACAAAGGAACCAGCACCTCAGGGTCCTGACCCAGCTGTCTGGGTCAGTTGTCACCACAGCTGGACAGATCGTGCAGGGTGTCTGAGTGTTTCCTCAGGGAGGAAGGTGGGAGGAGGAGGTGACCCAAGAGATGCCTGAGGGCCCTTCTCCCTGTGTCAAACACACCCTGGAGCCAGAGGTCTGTGTCACCATCTGTGGGTTTCCTGGTGGGGCAAGAGCAAGAGGCTCTCCACATTGTCCCCATGTCCCTGATGATCTCCAGGGAGCACACGCTGGAAGCCACCAAGCTAGTTAGTGGTAGACATTGGCAAGTTATCCGTGAGGAGCAAAATGTTTTTTTCAGACATAGCAAATAGCAGTAACTACTGCTTCAAATGCCAAAGATTTTTAGAGTGGTCTGTTACATTAAAAAAAAAAATCTTTTAATAAAGGGAGACCTTGTCATTTTAGATGGTCTTTTAGGTGTGAAAGGTACAGATACTGGCTGCCTGGTCAGAATCATCTTCAACCATTGTGGGGAGAGCAGGAGGGAAAATGAATGCCACCAACAGGCTTGATACTCAGGTTTAAATACTTACTGGATTCGATAAGTGTGCACATGTGGACATAGACAGTCTGTTTTTATAGTTATTTTTGCAGTTAAATGGGAAAGTAACTGTCTTTTTGCTGCTATAACGAAGTACCTGAGACTGGGTAATTTATAAACAATGGAAATTGACTGCTCACAGTTCTGGAGGCTGGAAGTCCAAGATCAAGGCACCAGCAGATTTGGAGGCTGTTGAGGGTACATTTATAGACAGTGACCTCCCCCAGGCCCCTTCTATAAGGGCACTAACCTCAGTTATGAAAACTACTTTGCCCTCAAGACTTAGTCATTTCTTAGAGGTCTCACTCCTCATACTGTCACATTGGGAATGAAATTTCCAACACATGAGTTTGGGGGAGCACCAGAATTCAGCCCACCGCAGTAACTTCAAGAGAATTTCCACAGCTGACTTGGAGCTTTGTTTACACATGGAGTTTCTTCCGAAGTCTACTTTCTCTGGGACCTCGTAGGGCATCCTTTTTATTTTGACATCTCATCCTACTGGTTGCTAATACCCTGGAGTTCCCAAATGTTCCATACTCCCTGACACTGGTGTACGTGAAGAATAAATAATTAAATTTTTAAAAATCATTTATGTCACAAGCACATTTTGTGTTGTGTGTAGGAAAAACAACCACTCTAGAAGTGTTTGAATGTTTGGCATTGTCCTCGCTGGATCACGGTGGTATCCAGCAGCTCCTGTTGCCTGCATGTCTCAGTCACATCCATGTGACCAGAGAAGACCTCAAGTCACTGGGGGGTGGGGGCTCCAACCTTCAGTCTGTTGGACCTACCCAAGAGCTGACTGCTGTGACCAGATGGGATTGACTCTCCAGACTGGACCGAAACCTCTATCCACCCTCAATGGGGCAAGGGGCCATTTCTGCCCAAATCATAGGAGGGGAGAAGTGGGACAGAGAAGGTGACCTAATGTCCACTGTGTCATGCCTTGGGAGAAGTGACATGGTTCAGAATGATATGGTCACTTGCCACACTGGTCACATCATGGAAGTGAGGGCTTACTGCATTTAACTTTGGACATCTCGAGATGAGAGTCCTCTAAGTTTTCTTAACCTAACCAGGGGGTGGGGCAGGGCAACTCGGGTCCATGCTCCCTAGCCAGGTTGGAGGAGGGCAGTGGGTGCACAGAGTAGGAATTGCAACTCATGTCCCCGAGGCTGACACGTCTCAATACCCACACTTCTATTCCTGTTGCAAAACAAAAAGCCACCAAGGTACCTGTGTGGTGGGTGGTGGGAAGAGAATGGGAATTACGCACTTGGATATGTGGAAGAGTACAGTGGCACATGCAGACTGCAGCAAGTGTGATGAGTGTGGCATGGTTGGACAGAAAGTGAGTGAAAGGAAGGCAAGTGAGGAGAAGGGATCCTGAGCCCAGCTGTGTAGCCCTGAGCATGCGGTATTTAACCCCTTAGTGCTGTGAGTAATATCCTCATCTCAGACTTTATCTAACCCTTCAGTGCTGCAGTTTCTTGTCTCAAAAATGGGAAAGTAGTGGGACCAGCAGTTAGTGTAATGACTATGGACTCCCATGTAGTCGACCGCGGTTCGCGTCCTGGACCTGGTGGCTTAAAACTCACGCTGGGCACGTGTGCATATGTGCCCAAGATCCCGAGAGGAGAATGGAGGAGAAAGGATTGCAGTGTGACCATCCCCCCTGGGGGGTGATTTCTCGCTTTCTATCTCTCTGTCTGTCTCTCTGTCTGTCTGGCGAGTGCACGCGCCCTATAGTGAAAAACCTCTCAAAAAAAAAAAAAAAAAAGAAGAAGAAATAACAAGGGTTCTGCTAGTGCTCATGTTCGAGAGCCCGAGACGGACAGTAACACGGCGAGTAGGTGTGAGATGGAGTGCCGGGTGTGGACGAGCAGCTGCCAGGTGGCCGAGGTGCCTGGTTGAGGCAGGTGGAGCTCGGAAGGCCAGATACATTCTCAGATCACACCCGCGGTAGCCAGGGGACCTCCCTAAGGCATGGACGTTCACATAGAGCCTGAGGTGGGCCCGATTTCCCAAGGGACTGGGAGAGGAGGTCAGAATTTAATGAGGGTGATGGAGGGAACACACTATCATGATAGCCGATGTTCGCTGAGCGTGTGGGTCATGCACACACTTCACACAGACCACAGGGACTTCTCACACCCTCCCCGTGCGCAGCTGAGAAGTGACAGGGCTGAGATTCGGGTGTGGGACTGTGGCCGCCAAGGCCAGCTCCTGGCCCCCGCACAGGCTGCTTACTCCATTGGCAGCCTGAGAGTGTGACTCCTTTCCAGAGACTCCCTGGAGCAAAAGAAATACTATTTTTTATCATAAAGTACTGAATCATCAAAATAAGCGAATACTTGTAAAACAACAACAAAAAACCCTTTTGGGCAGGCACGAAGTCCCCTCAATCTCAGCGGGTGTGCGCTATTATGTAACTGCAGGAAGCCATGCTTCCGTCATTTTATGAATGAAAGAAAAAAGGCGCAGGAGGGACCGCAGGTGGTATGGTGGTTAAGGCTAACGAGTTCGAGTTCTGGACCTGGCAGCTTGAAAGTCATGCTGGGCATTGTGTGTGCCCCAAATCCCAAGGGGAGAATGGACAAGAGGGATTGTGGTGTAGCCAGCCCTCCCTGGGATGGTTTCTTACCCTGTCTCTCTGGCAAGAGCATGCACCCTATAGCCGGAAAAAAGAAAAAGAGCAAAGAGGCTGAGTGATATGAGGTCAGAGAGGATTCGGGGGTGGATCAGCGGGAAGGTTGGCAGGGGGGGTGAGGGATGCAGCTTTACCAAGGAAGGCAGGAGCCATAAAGGGTTGTGAGTGGAGAGGGGTGTGAGCAGGATGTGCTGGACACTGGAACACGGCTGGGGACAGAAAGGGTGGAGTGAGAGCAAAGCAGGGGGAGACCCTGAAGTTGTCCTGGTGGGAATGGTGGTGGCCGGGACCAGGGGGCTACTGGAGAGGTGGGAAGGTGCCAGGTTCTGGTTTTCAGTTATTTATTAGAGAGACCTCGGTAAACTTGGTAAGATTGTGATTCTTTTTCTTTTAACACCTTTTGTGTCTTTAATTTGGAAGTTTTCCTGTGCAGTTCCATGTGCACACAGAACATATCCGATGTTTCATGAGCCTCTGGGTTTTCGTCTGAGTGCTGACAGTCTGCGGCTGTGGTTCGCCCCTGCTTCCCCGCACACTATAGTGCATTTTGAAGATTTTTGCACGTCAGTCCTTGGAGATCTGTTGACATTTTATTCTGTGAGATGAGGGTGATAACATCACCCAAGCAGGAGGGTCTCGGTGGAGGCATAACAGCTCTCACTGGATGCCAGTTGATTAGGAACGAACTCCAGTTCTGGATGGTAAGTGTCAGTAGGAAATCCCAGGGGCTGGAGCAAGGCATGTGTCTTTCCAAGCAGACATGGGACCCTATCCTTCTAGGGTTTCACCCCCTCACCTCCATGCAATGGGTGTTTAGGCAGTGACTGAGTTTTCCCACCTCAATCATTCTTCTTTTTATCCGTTCTGAATAAATGGAAGAATTTGCAGCAGTAGTGAAACCGAAAGTCTTTGAGGACAGATTTATCTGGGCTAAATCCTGGCTGTGCCATTTACAAGTTGATTCAGGCTCCTCCCAAAGGCCAATGGTCCCAAATGATTACTTTATGGAAATTATCTGAAAACCTGCCAGTCAGGGGATGGCCATGTGAGCAAGCTGCATCCACACAGTGTGATCAACTCCCTGGAGTTGTTGAAAAGATTGAAGTAAAGCCTTCTCTTTGTGGGCTGGTCCTTACGGACAGGACTGCAGAACTTGGTGCTGCAGGACCCAGCTTGTGAAGGCCAGGGGAGGGAGCAGCAAATCACCTGCCCAGAAAGGAGAGTTTGGCCCAGCAGGGTTTCGTGGCCTTGGGTGTCCCTATGGCAGACCATGGGCTGTAGCAGACAATGATGGGCTGGAATTCAGTTCATGCATTTCCACTTTAGTTTAGTAATTGGTTACCAGCATTAGGACAATGAGAGACTTTGCATTTACAAACGTCACCTTTCAGCCATCCATCCTCTAAACAACACTCACATCTGGGGTGTACCAAGAAGGGTTCCAGGTGCTGGAGGCTCGAGGTGAATTAGAAACACCCGGTCACTACCATCATGGAGCCTAAATTATAGGAGACAAGACAAAATAAGTGAGAAAAAAAATCGACATGATGAACTTCAGCTTGTTTTGAGAATTCACAGTATCAAGACCCACTGGACCCGCTGGACCAGGAGAGGCTAGAGAAGTAGGTAAGAGCCATGTCACAGTGGTTGTTGTTGGGCACAGGGCCCAAGGTCAGAGTCTCAGTGCTCTGTGTCTTCTAAAAAGGTGTGGACATCACCCTCCGAGGAGCAGGGGACTGGCTCGGGCATCTGGGTGCTCCTGCAATGTCTGGCACATAGTGGGTGCCGATGCTCAACTCTCAAGTGATTAAGTGATTGTGGATTCCCTGGTGATCAGAACAAACAAACCTGTTCACTCATTCCGCAGTCCTGGAATGACCGGATTTGTTGCCAGGGGCTTGTTCTTGGAGAGCCTGCACAACTCAAAACCACATAACTCAGTCCTAATCCTGACAATGTGGGCCCCAGCGACAGTGGCACTAAACAAGCAGTTTATGATGTATGTGATTGTTTGTAGGAGAGAGTGTGGATTTTTGAGAAATTTTTAAATTGCAAAGTATATCACCATTTCAAAAATACCACTTCAAAAATGCTCATGACTTCAAAATGTACTCATGCTTCATTTGTATACATGTGCAGTAATACCCTCCGGTCACCCCACCTCGCAACACATAAACTAGGGCCTTGCCAATAACCCGCAAATATGAGTGGTCTTCAAAATTTCATGAAAAAAGTGTGTATTATGAAAAAACTGTGCATGGATTTGATATTTTTTACACCCAAATAAACTTGTGTTTTAATTCACTTTCCCCACAAGCCTTGTGAATTCCCCTCATAATTCTACAGCACTCTCTGCCCCATCTTCCTGTGTCTCCAGGCTACTCGGCTGCCAATCCTAGCACGTTTCCCCTTTTTTATCTTATATACACCGCCCCCGCCCCGGCCGTCTTGGAAACTCCGTGTGAATAATTCAAATTAGGTTCCAGCCAGGCTTTGCTGCCCTAGGAACAAAGCTGCCTTAGTAATGACTCGGCAGTTTTCTCCTCATCTTCTTTCCTCCCACGCTCTCCACATCCCAGACAGTCTTGTTTCTAGGCAACAGCAGGGATTTTCCCAGGAAGGTTCTTTGGGGGGAGAGGGAGAGACAGCGCGCGAGCCAGTCCGTACAGCCACTCAGCACCGCGGACAGCGCAGGCCGACTCGTCAGCACCGCGGACAGCGGGCAGGAGCCTGTGCTGCTTCCCATGCTGAGTATTAATAGACGAAATGCGCTCTTCTCCACCCCAACTTAAAAAGAGGGAGAGGAGAGAGAGGGGGAGAGGAGGGGAAAAGAGAGAGCAAGATGGAGAGGGAAAGTTAGAGAGCGCGAGAGCTAGAGAGCGAGCGAGCGCGCGCGCGAGAGAGATCTGGTCCGTGCAGCCTTTCAGCACCGCGGACAGCGCAGGCCGGACTCGCCAGCACCGCGGACAGCGGGAGCCTGTGCTGTTGCCGTGGTAGGTGCAAAGCGCTCTCTCCCACCCCCGCTTGTTTATTCAGGGAGCGAGCGAGCGAGCATCCCAAGCAGGGTCTCAACACCCTGTTCCAGCCTCAGCCAGTCAGTCAAGGACATGCGTGTGCCCAGTGCACTCGGACATTCCACCTTGGACCTGAAGCCTTCCGTGTGGAGTTGCCTTGCAGAGGGTCGCGTTTTACCCCGGAGCCACCTTCTGGACTCGGCAATGCGCTCTTCTGAGCTGACTTCTGCGCCCCCTCCTCAACTCCCTCCCCTAAAGTCTCTGCCTGCTGATGGCGTTGGTGCAATGCGGACTGCTGGCGCTACCTTCAGGAACGCAGGCTCCCAATTCCTAACACGCCCCAGGGGAGCTCTAGATTTTCCGTGCACAAAAGCCTGGTCCCGTTCGGGCCTTACAGCGCACTCAGTTGCTCAGGCCCAGCCCTGGAGTGTCTTGTTTCCCTTTCTCTCAATCCTCCCTTCCCAGCTGTCAGGGAGTCCTCCCCGCTCTGCCGGCACAGTAAACCCTCACTGTGCCCACACTATCTGCCCTGCCAGCACCGTCATCTCTCACTGGGCTTACTGCACGACTCGCCGAAGCGCCTGGAGTGTCTTGTTTCCCTTTCTCTCAATCCTCCCTTCCCAGCTGTCAGGGAGTCCTCCCCGCTCTGCCGGCACAGTAAACCCTCACTGTGCCCACACTATCTGCCCTGCCAGCACCGTCATCTCACCGGGCTTACTGCACGACTTGCCGAAGCGATCGTCCCACTTTACATGTTGGCCTGCTCGTGCATCCCCACACAGCACCCTTAGTCACCACTCGGTAGCCTTCCATGGCTCCCAATACACCTACACAAACATTCAGAAGTCTTCTCATGGCTTTCAAGACCAGATGCCTCTCTGGCCTCACTGCCCTCTTCTGCACCCGCCCTCTGGCCACACCGGCCTCAGAGCCCTTTGCATCAGGAGTTCCCTCTGGTGTGGATTCCAGAGCATCTGACTCCTCTCCTTTTGGATCTTAGCTCAAAATGTCACCTTGGGGCTGGCCCAGTCAGTATCTGTTGAAAGAATGAAGGAGCCCTGCAGTGATCTGTCTGTCCCCAACTAGTGCTGGAGCCACGGAAAATGGCAGCAGCACTCAGCTCCTGATGGGATCGCGGTCCCGGGTCTGGGGGCTGTGCTGGAGTTGCTGGTGCCACCCTCGGTTTGCTCATCCGCGGGGAGGACCCAGGACTCGCACGTGCCCTCCTGGCACGCTTTCTCACATGAACGACTGTGATGCACTCCAAAGGCACAGGCTCCTGGGCACCACACAGCCTGGCCCTGCCTCTGACTTGCCATAAGGCTGCAGCTGGGATGAAGATGGAGCAGTGGCATCGAGCTATGATTTATTAATCTTGTTTTTATTTCCACTTTGGAGTGTGGTGCAGGAAGCTGGCTTTTTATTTCTAGGAGTGCCATTGAATTTCTAGAGGTGACTCTGAGATGATTTTAGAACAAGTTCATTTCAGGTTAAAGTCGTAAGTAGGAAGATGGCTGGTAGCTGGAAACGAGCCACCGTGAAGGTGGTATCCGTGGACTTCGAAACACGGCAAAGTGGAGAGAGAATCCTGAACGACAACTCGAGCACAGTCAGAGACGCGGACAGGGACTCCAAATGCTCCCATCGCCGCTTTCTTCTCTGTTAGGAAGAAATCATGTCCTAAGAAATTATCCGGTAACAGAAACCTGGGGCGGCCTCTCCTAGTCGAGTCTGTTTTGAGAAAAACCCCTGCTTTTCCTGGGCGCCAGATCACACCTGGTAGCTGCCCAGGACCCGGTGCACGGCCAGCAGAGTGGTGGTGGTGATGCGGACCGAGCACTTGCTCTGTGTGGGGCACCGATCTGCGATAGCCCAGGAGGTGGGAACTGCTGTCCCATCCTGCAGATCAGGAAACGGGGCCTGGCTAATCCGCTTTCCACGGTCACACAGCTGGTACATGGCTGGTTCTGGGTCTAGAGGCCCAGCTCTAACCCCTGCGAAGCCTGTGGGTTGGGGCAGCTCCTCTGCTCTCCAGCACCGAGCAGTTGTCGAAGGAGGGGGCCAGGCCGAAGAAGGACTCAACTCGTCAGTCCTTGGAATGGCTGGAAACCTGCCTCCTACCATCTGAACGGCAACTCTCCCGTCCCAGTGATGTGTATGGAAACTCCCGAGAAAACCCAGTCTCCATCCCCCCACTCGCTGTGTCCTCTAGGCAGATCGCACAATGCCTTTACGCCTCGGTTCCCTTCTCTGTAAAGTGGGATGATGACAGCAGCCGCTCGGGACTGCTGGGA